GCAGCATATAGACCTTTGATGTGGGGAATTTCAAACAAAAAGACACCCTTCCAGCTGTTTTAGGTTACTAAGCTTTGACACAAATTTGTTGGCGCTGAAGAAAGTAAGCGTAAAATAATTAAATTAGATAGCAAGCAAGCAAAGGTTAGTTGGATACAATGTATAATAGGAGTAAAATGCGGTCGGTATACTCAATCCGGACTCGTATATTTCCATTCATGTGCTCTGGGCAAGGTGAGCATCCCTAATGTGAGGTACGGTAACCTGCCCGTTTAATGGTAAGTTCGGGCTACATCACAACACCCACCTCCCAAATCGGATAGAGTTTGATCGACTTTATAGTGGCAGGGTATATTTTATTTATTTGGTAGTACCAGACATCAGCAGCGAAATAACCAAAAAGCTGCTTGGGTATCCCTTGCTAAAAGAATCAAGAGCCGAATTAAACACGTTGCAATGGGCGGAATGTAGGCTTCAAATATTACTGCCGTTTGCTATGCTATAACAAGTCTAGAACACAAAAAAAAGTTCAACGCCGAGAAGCTGCATTCAAAACGGTCAGCTCGCAAATTTTGCACTCGCCTTTCCATTCAGCTTAAAGGCCTGTATGCAGCTCTCAAGAAAAGCAAAAACTCCATGTAAAATGACGTACAAGAAATGGCTAAGAAATTTTCTTGTGTAAAATTTTCTAGAGGCAGTACGCACTTCTTAAGAAATTTACACTGCTTTCTACTACGGTTTTCTAAAGTGTTTTGTGAAAAAAAGAGCACAAGGCAACACAGGTTTGCAACAGAAATATATGCCCGTTCTAATATTACTTGAGGAAAGAGCGAGGCAACAGGCTGGTTAAGTATCAGTTATCAAAATTTCTTGGATACACACACGAAATAATGGCAATTTTTTTCTTGACCGTTTTTTTTTTTGAGAGCTGCATACTGGGCTTAAGCATGCAACTTTTCATCATCCCGACATAAATTTGCATTTGGATTTCATCTCCTAGTCTATGCGAAAGAAGTGGTTGGTCACGTGGGTGACGCAGCGACCAATACGCAGCACACAAAGCCAAAAGCGATGCGAGCTACCATTGAAAGAGAAAAGAAAGTGTGAGAGACGTCTTTCCAAGAGGAAGATAAGAGAGTTAGAAAACCGTTTACACCCCATTAGTGGAACTTCAGGATCGGAACACTCAACAGTAAGAGATCTTTGCAGAGCGTAAAATTCTGCAAAAACCCCGTGAGAGACAAATTCACCCCCACAATTTTCCATCGATTGCAGAGCTGATTTTGGCTGACCAAAGAATAGCTGCCCCTACGACGCCCTGTCTAAATATGGCTATACAAAATGACCTCGGGCGCGAAATTTAGCTCCGTAGGCGTAGGATTGGAAAGGACCGCTTCGAGCCATTCGAAACCATAGTTTTAGACAAGGCAACCATTTTTCGTGAAATTTTTTCAATCTAATTAATAACAGGAATTATGTCAGGCTGAACATCATGGGGATATTGACTATTCCCAGTGAATATTAACTAGGGTAGCCAAATATTTTATTGACATAATCAGTATACAAGGGATCAAAATCAGTACAAAGCCATAAAAATTAGCGTATTTTTAAGCTTTTTTTCGTTTATTAACAGTATAAGAACCAAATAACAGCACATTAATTTAACATAAAATAACTAATAGACGTTTAAGTACATATGGCATTATCAATATAACAATTCAATAGTTTGAAATAAATCAAATGCATTACGTATGTATGTACAGTTGTGTTCACAAGAATAGTAGCAAAATGTATTGACAAGTTTTTAAATTTTTCTTCCTTACTTAATTCCAATTTTTTTAAAAAATGTAGTTAATTCTAAAATAAAAACCATGTTTGTTGAAGTCTTAAACTTTCGAGAAAATTTATAAAAATTGAAACAATAAAAAAATAAAAATTCATTAATATATCAACTTTTTGTCATGAATTTTAAAAAAAATTTGGGGTACGCAGTTTTGTAGCCTATTGTAAAAAAAAAATAAAAATAAAAAATAAAAAAAATAAAATGTTCATCAAAATATCAACTTTTTGGTCCAAATTTTTAAAAGATTTTGGCGTACGCAGTTTTGTAGCCTATTGTAAAAAAAAAATGTTAAACAAATTAACAAAAAATAAATAAAAAATATAAAAATAAAATGTTCATCAAGATATCAACTTATTGATGCGAATTTTTAAAAAATTTCTCAGTGCGCAGTTTTGTAGTCTATTCAAAAATAAATAAAACAAAAATAAAAAATAAAAAAAACTTTCATCAAAATATCAATTTTTGATCGAATCAAATCCCATTCGGGTCCATTACACCCAGCGCTGTTTAGTAGTGCTCTAAACACATTCACATTTACACAATTAAAAGTGAGCAAATATGAGAAATTTAAATAGCAACAAAAATGCGTAAAATCATATTTGCCTTCTGCTCTGAAAAATACTAAAAAAAACTGCATACAACTTAGAAGTACTGCAACCTCGCTTAAGCTAAATTTAGTACCTAAACTAAAAACATATACTTATCTACCTCAATTAATTCACTAATTTTAAAAATCCTATAATTTTGACAACAATTTGGCTTACGCATGCATATGTAACTATGTACATACTATACATATGAGGTTATACTTGTATCACCATTTTTTAACGTTTTTTTTTTTTGTTTTTTAATTAATAGGCCTTGACACATGCGGAGGGTGTAAGAAAAAGTACATTCATATGCATGTGTGCAAGTTTACAGCGTAGCTTATTTACATCATTTATGCTCCCCTATCATTGCGTTACACCCTTTGAGAGGCCACTTGGGCTTTACTTGATGACAAACTTAATTCAGCACTCTGCTTAACGTTGAGACAAATATTTACTTAAACCCATACATACATAAAAAAAAGCGCAATGTTCACTCATTCGCGACTCACCTAATGGGATTTTCTCGGTTAATGACGACGGTTGTGCTTGAACGCCGTTGAAATTCATCCAAGTGTTCGCCGCCGCATGCGCCAGCCATAAAAATGTAAAAAGTTTTAATCCGTTAAGCATTTTGAATGCAAGTGTTCACTGCACTGCTGCTGCACTTTTCACTTTTCACACATGCACACTGTACACACTGCAACAGCGCATATGCATGCATACAAACATATGTACTCGTATATATGTATGTATGTATGTGCTCTCGTTTGAAAACTTGCAAGAGGCTAACAAGTAAATGCGCCTTAACACACATTCACACAAATGCGCCCAACCCCAATTCGCAG